TTTATAAACAGTGTGCTGCAATTGGATTTTCCAGAATGTCTTTATGTGATATTATATAACCACACATTTGAGTAGTACATTGCAAAGCCTCTCAGTTAGGTGTACTGCATGCGGTGCCAAAGAGGATTTACAGATGAAGAGGTAAGGAAGCAAAAAGACTGCAATGCAGAAATTAGGGAGTTTATTAACTGTATGCCACTTTGTGTTTATTTTCTAAAGTTCAGATTTTATCTCAATTGTTTCTAATGCTTGGATTGCACGGTTTTCTGAGCCGCAAAAGGTCATGATCTTGTTATAGTTTATTCTCCCTCTGCTAAAAGATTATTAGCTAAAATGCTGCTTGAAAGAGACACTTGACATTTTGGGCAGATTTGTATGAAATTGCTATAAGCAGCGATACCGCTCACTGTAAAAAGACCAAATAATTGCACCGCAAGTGTTTGGACTTATCACCACCTTTCAACATGTCTCCTTTGTGCCTCAATAATTGGAGGCGATGTTGTAAAGCATTTGTCAATAGGCTGCTACCTCTATTTGCATGAGCGTGCCATACTGCCATATACATAACTCAGGGTTCATACACTTTTTCACCAAGGATTTTCAATGACTTTTCCATGACCTTTACCTAATTTTCCATGACCAAAGAAATTACCCTTTCTCAGCGGTACCACTGAAAATGGTTTATTTTAACATGGAACAGGAAAATAAGGTCTGCATATGAAACATGTTGTGCCTATCTAAAAACAAATCAAATAGTAGGCTTACTAGCTTCTACACGCTAAAGCAACTAAAATCTCTCACCAGCAAAATACCTCGTCAGTTAAATGACATTTTACGTTTCATTACTATACGATACAGTATTTATTATCATTATAGTATTACTATTTCGACGATTAGATCAAATATAAATTATATTTGATGCAACTTTAGTTAGATTTACATGACTTTTCCAAAACTTTGGGAAAAATATTGCTTTCCATAACTTTTCCAGGGCCTGGAATTTGCATTTTGAATTTCCATGACTTTTCCAGGTTTTTAATGACCGTAAGAACCCTGATAACTATATCTGGTTCTGCTGCTGCACTGTGCTTTAGCTTTTAAACTACTGCTTGATATAACACCTGAATTACAGTTATGATCATTCTAGCGGTTCTATGTACTATATTGGCATGCCAAAAAAGATATACAGACTATATTCTCACATTTGACAAAATATGCAAATTATATTTACATAAGCTGGAAATGACAGTGCTGTTTTTTTTGGGAAGATTGTTTTGAAATACCACAGTGAATGCAATAAATAAATACAAACGGTGTCAGAAATGATCAATATTTTGCAAGGACAATTATTAAAAGAAAAAGAAAAAAAAAAGATCACTATTTAGCATGTAGAACTTAAAGCTCCTTCTAATCACTGAATTTCTTCTGATCTCTGATAACTGTTGAATACCTAATGCAAGGAATGCTTTGTAAGAATAATATTTCCACAGTACATACAGACAAACAGTGTCAGAAGTTACAAGAAGAAATATTATATATTTGACAAACTGGTCATTTGCTTGTGCCACAAACCTGAAACCCATAGAACAGCTGTACAAGAGAGCTAACAAGGTGTTTGACAGAAAGCCAAAATTTTTTTGACCACTTTAAGTCTTTTAAAAGTATGTGTTTTTTTTATAAATGTTTACATGGACTGCCCCCCCCCCCCTTAGGGGAATTCATCCACAAAAAACACTCTGGACGCTGCACTAGGTCAGAAACCAGAGGAGACTGTGAGGTCCACCGCAGACGGACCACTTTTGGACAAAATGTCCTCTCCATTAAAGGCAGCTCATTGTGGAACAGCCTCCCTACTGAGTTACGGGATTGCCCCACTCTCAATAGCTTCAAAGGTCAACTCAAAGAATGGTTGAGAAACAACCAGACGTGCAATCACCGCTAAATGCACTTTAACACAGGGGTATCTCCTCTTGCACTTTATGCATCTCTTGTATCATCTCTTGCACTTTATATGTCGTTGCTGCTATAGTGTACTACCATGTGATAAATACTTGTGTATGCTGCTCTTGCTCTCTTGCACTTTTTGCATATCATGTATTTTGTTTTTGCTATGTTTGTAAAATGTAATTTTCTTAAATGTTTTATGTGAGGGACTGCGGATGGAAATGAGCTCAAAGCTAAATCTGGCACTGTTACGCTTGATACATTTGAATGTTTTAAGTGTTCATTACTGTGCATTGTCCCTGCCAAATAAACGATTCAATAAAAAAAAGAAATTATAATAAAAAGAACTATGATCATCAAAACTAGAAAGATCACTATTTAGCATGTATAACTTTAAGCTCCCGACTTCTAGCCACTGATATTCTTCAGCTTATTGTGTAATAGTTGTATATGTCATTGTTAAATACACAATGTATGTGAAACAGAATAATTTCCCCTGGTGCTTTGTTAATCTAAATGGCTTTTATAGATTATTTTAAATCCAAATCCATTCATAACCAAACATGCATTTGAAGTGCTACAGTAAACAATGGCAGATGGATGCACTATGCAAACAGCAATACAAAAGCAAACACGTGCACAGAGTGGCACACATATCAAATGTATTGAAGATCAGCAATTTGAGCCATGCGCTAAAAATAATGCCACGCAAGACTTTCATTTTCTGCTTTTGAACAGTTCCTGCAAAGCCAAAGATCGTGTTCCTTTTATTCAATCCAGCCGGCTTCTGAAAGAGCACCTCATCCCTTCCACCTTATTTCACAATCGTCAAAAATTACATTCAGCAGAAAAAGTCTCACACTTCAAATGGTGCTGCTGCTGCAACCCCAAACTTAATATGAGGTATAAAAAAGGTCTCAGCCCACACATGTTTCACACCTCAGACCTCTGATAGTTCTGCCTGCATTTGTTAGCTTGAAGACATCTCTCCCATAACTAGCAGCGGGGAGGCAGGACCATCATGACACTTTCACCCCTCAGTAGTAAAACGTGGACAAAATAACAGCAACTGTAGTCAGTTTTTACAGCATACCAAGCAATACATCGTCTTAAGGTACAGAAACATATGAAAGGCTTATTTTCCCCAATATAAAATGCCAAACTATATATTATTAGATCATTTTATGAACGACTTATGTAAAAAAAAAGTAATGTTAATTCATATTAATACTCCTTTCTTTGGTTGTTTTGGTGATAATGAAATATTGTTATCCTTTGTTAACAGATTCTTTAAACTGTCCAGAATATTTTTTTTGTTGAGATTTTAGTAAGCGAAAACCTTTCTGACCTTGGCCCACAATTGATGATATAAGATTAACCCTAACCCTTGAAACATAAAAACAACTTTAATATCTTACTACTTGTTGCATTTATTGTATTTCATTTCCCGGATGCAAATCAAATGCACATAAAACTATGTCAGGGAGAGAATATTATCATGGCTGTTGTAAAAAATGGAAATATAAAATGTTGGTGGGGAAACAAAATGAGTTTTGTGCAAGAAAGAAATGTGCAATTACATTGAGCATTTATTATTACGTTTCCACATTCTGTCTCTCCTCTACATGGTTTGTGTTTATTTATTAATATACCACATTGATTAAGCTGGGTGCAGTTCTCATTCAAGACGCCATCTGCTTGGAACCACCAATAGTAATTAAAACAAGCTTGCTACTTAATGGGATTCAGCAAAAATACAAAATCAAAACACTCTCTTTTATGGGTTTTAGCACTCAGCCAAATACAATTGCTCCCCAAAAGCATTCAGTTAACATGCAGTGTGATGAGCTAAAGCTGATAATAACAATAATAACACTAATTCATATATAAAGACGCTATGAAGTGGGGATGCCTGCAAACATTATGTGCATACAAAGGAGCCAGTACTTATAGACTTCAGCTAATTCACTTTGATTCAGAATGATTTGCATTAATTTGTGTTTGTAAATAAAATACTGTGAGTGTCAATGCAAGACAGTAGAGGATGGACACAAAGCCATAATGCAACAGGAGTTAATTATTGTAATGTGTGTGTTTGAACCATACAGTCTAAGGTTTGAACAAGTTAAGTTCCAACAAGTAATGGAACAACTTTTAATTAAGACCAGGTTTTTACACGTTCACATCGTCACATCCACATGACACACTGCTGCCTATAACAGGTAACATTCTAGCAGAGATAAGTGCGAAAAGTGCTGTCAATTATTTAGTTGAGTTGCGTCTAAGCGAAAGGTTCTGTGTCAATTAAAGTTCCCTCAGACAAAACACATAGCAGTGTACTGTATATGTCTAGGGCTTTTATGGTGAAAAGTACCAAGTGAAAGAGTAAAGCTCTAAGGTGCCGCAGCTGCAATTAACAAGATGCGAGCAAAAAAGTTTAAATGTCATTATCTTCATTCGTATAGGTGCAACTCATCACTGTTGGCTGAAGTGTTTTAGCGCCTTATTATGTGCTATTAGTCTTAGATTGTCACTTTTATCTGCAGCATGCATATAGGAGAAAAACAGCCCTGTTTGGCTTGCCGAGTATGCCTGCAGGGAGCGGAAGCACACATACACTTCCAAGCAAATTATAAGTAGGCCTAAGGTTCTTATTAAAACTGTCATTCTCTACAGATACTAATACAATGGCTTATACTGTAGGCAAGGCAAGGCAAGTTTATTTATATAGCACCTATTAACACAAGGCAATTCAAAGTGCTTTGCCTTACACTCAACTCACAGTGTGTGTTTAAAGTGAACTTCTTTTCAAAGGCAGAGTTACTGAGATACCTTTTTAGTTTTGGTATATTGTGCAACAAATGCTGTTGAAGCTCTGTTCAACATAACAACAAATTATTCAATTTACAGCATTATAAGAACCCTGCCTTTCAATTGCTATGAAAACGTTGCCATGCTGTTGTATAGTATCTACTCTCTCATGCAACAAATGCAGAAGCTGCACGAGAGGTTCTCCCTGCTGTGTGTGTGTCGGAGGTCCAGAAGCAGCTACTCACTCAGACACTCGTTGGCAGAGTCCCCCGTGGCCCTGGCCCAGGGTCTGTCCTGGTAAAAGGGGTGACATCTCTGGCAGTCGTCTCCCGCCGTGTGATGCTGGCAGGCACACACCAGCCCCCCGTGTTCCCCCTCAAAGCACTCGCTGGCGTGACCGTTACACTTACATCTGAGGGAAACACAGACAGATAGTTATGTAGAAAGGATGAAGAACAACTTTGCTCTGTCTCTGACTCTCCTCACTGACTCTGAGTAGAAACACACAGTCAGTGGAGAGGGGAAAGTGAGAAGGGATTTCCATGGTGAGTTGTCACTTCCTATCATCTTTAACAGTTATAACATGGCTTCAGATGAGGTGGGGTGTTCATTTCCATTCAGAAACATTACTATTCAAAACTCCACTCAGTGCTATACACTGTGTAATAGTAACAGCAAGAAGCATGTAACTCTGGCGTTTGTGTTCATGTTTATCTATGTGAACTCCTATGTTTATATTTATTTTTATTAGGGAGGCAGACATTATCCAAACTGTTAAGGGTGTGCTGAAGACTCCTTTAAAAAAAGAGATGATATGTTTGTCCTCCTGAGTGCTACATTTACGGTATTTCATTTGATAGTTCTGATTGTATTTTTTATTGTCTTTCTGTTGTGATTCATCTCGTTTCATTTGTATCTATTTTATTTGTATTTCATGTTCCATCATTGTTTTTATTGTAATTTAATTCATCTTTTAAAACTGTCATACTGTACATGCTTGTTAATCTGTAGTTTTGTGACGTTTGATAAATAAACTTTTTTTAATGTGTGTGTATCTTTAAATAAATGTATGTTTTTAATGATCAAAATTGAACAAATAATCATGAGATAAACATTTATAAGTACATTTCCCAAACCAGATAGCTAATATCTGCTGCCTTTTCTTCTCCCTGCATTAGGAAAGCCTATTATTTCCAGTGAAGCGCGGTGGCAGCTACGCCCTCCTGTGTGTAATACTTCCTGGCACTGTCGTCAGGTTTTGTCAAGTGGCTGTGATAGGGGACGGAGACTTGTCGCTGAGTGGCAGGCTCTGTCAAATTTAGCCAGCTGTCGAGGATCCAGACGCACGCTTGCCTGAGGCTCAGACCCAGTTATTTCTGTTGTCGCTGTGACGACAACAACCCAGTCACTCCAAAAGTGCTTCCAATCCACATATCAGATCTTCTGCTGGAGGAGACGTGAGCTCTGTGATCACTCTGACTGAATATCAAGGGAGGGAGGTGACATGAGCAGGCAGCATATGTGCAGTTCAAAAGACGTTAAGTCTGTATGTTAGAATGAAAATATGCAATACCAAAAAACCTCTCTCATTGTCTGGCCTTAGAGAAATCAACCTATGCTATAAATGGAAAGTCTGATACCTTCTATAAATGATGGGGGAAATTAGGGCTGTGCGATTATGGCAAAAATCATAATCACGATTATTTGGGTCAATAATTGATATCACGATTATTAAATACGATTATTCATTGACTTTGAAAAAATACATTTATTGAACTTTAAAACAAATACAAATAATAATTTGAACAGTATCTTTTTAACTGTTGATTACCCTGAACGTATAATTCAACTGAAAAACCAATACAAAAATAAATGATACATTTAAATAAATAATATCAAAATAATAAATACCAATAAACAAGATCAACAAATATTTTGGAGCGCACTTCCACAAGCTACTAAACATATATAAATATGATAAATACAAATAAATGAGACCAAAATTAATTAGATCAAATATGTTGCAGTGCACTGTCACAACCTAGCAAAGCTAAATAATTGTTTTTTTCGATTATGTTGTTTTCGTAATTGTGGCAGGCCAAAATCGTAATTGCGATTAAAATACGATTAATTGCACAGCCCTAGGGGAAATACATAGTTTGGAACGGAACTAGATACGACCTTGTCAATTAGTAGACAAGATATGATTGGATATGATGTAACTGTTTTAACCTTTTGACAATTTCACATTCTATTACATCATTTTTTTACATTTATGTTATTTTCAGTTTTCTCTTTTGAATTATTGTTCACTGTCAATGTATATGTATATTTTTTTATGTTATTAATTTAAGAACTTTTTTTTGTAATTGTAACTTTATTGTATTCAGTTATTTGTATTTCTTCTTCTTTGGGGGGGTTATACATTTCTATAATGTCTTTTGCTGAAAAATAAAGAAATGCCAATAAAAATATATTTAAAAGCAAATGCATTGCCAGCATTTCTCATTTATATGGATTGTCTCCACTTGAACTCTAGCCCATCTCTTCTGACAGCAGTCCACCTTGGGTTATGGCTGCATTGATATTCTGTATTAATGACAAGGAGTCTTTCACAGCTTCTGTGAGCGGGACTTGGCGAGGTGTAGCACTGAGGTGTAAAGCCTTGTTTACTGATACAGAAAGCACAAGGCTAACGTGTTTTCATGTGGGTCTCTCCCCCAGGTGCTGTGGCACTGGTAGGTAACTTGTCCTGTCACTGCAGTGATCCTAAGTGTTTATGACATGTGTCAGATCAGATTTATATTCAGTGTGAAGGCTTCATCTCGACTACTTAATCGTCCACTTCTATGTGAGACGCCAAGGTGCAGCCTGATCCTTGGCACCCCGTCTTCTCTCATTACTTTGAGTAATAAACCAAAAGAAGTGGAAGGAGGAAGCAGGATAATATTGTATATTCGCATCTAATTGTATTTTGACGGACAGCAAGTTTTTTGCATACCTATTTTTAGGAAAAGTTGTTGATTGTTTTTCTTGCTTTGGGACGGAAACAGATGACTTGGGTTACAAAAATCCAGTCTCCTGAAAGGAGAAGGATTTATTATTTCAGGCATATCTGCAAACCTGTATACTGCAAGGTTGGATAAGGGGTTAAAGGTCAACCAATAAGAGGGTCATTGGTTCGATCCCCAGCCGCTGCAGTCTACATGTCCAAGTTCCCATGGGCAAAATACTTAATCCCAAATTGCTCCTGTAGGCAAGTTGCTTGTGAAAAAACCGTTATGACAATAGGTGTAGTTTCATGTAAAATGTTTATAATAAAGATATTTAAATAAAGAAGATTGTGGTATTTATTTAATACTGACAATTGTCCTTGAGACCAGTTGAGACAATTTGAAAAATCGTAACCAAAACTATAATCGTTACCTAACCATAACCAATTGCTTTATGAAGCTTACTTGAACAATATGTGAGATCAAAGACATTAACACTGGGCTCATTAAAATATGTGCATCGTATGCCTTGTATTCCTGCAGCAGTTGTGTTTCCTCCAAAACTAATTTGGAAAAGCCAAATAGCATTACATACATTTATTTAGTAATAGATAGGGCTGTGTGCTCAAATTATAAATTATTTGAGCAATAAATAGAAGCACCATGGCACACATATATACACCACCAGCCTTTTGAGTTTTCATTTGTTGTTTGGCTCAACTTCAATTTCATCCGACTATCCAAGGTGAAAGAGACAAACTTTGAACATTCAAGAAAGCGTGTGTTGGCTATGCAGCGTTTTCTGTCGTCTCTTACCTGCCACCCACAGAGAAGTCAGAGATGGCATAGAAGTACGAGCGCAACACTTTAGCGTCCTTGAAGAACTCATCTCCAAAGGTGTTAAGCCTGTCCAAAGAGATGAGCAGGTCAGTGGCTGTCACCCATTCCTGGAAGAGAAAAAAGATAGGGATGAAGAAACAGGGCCAACAGGGCGAGACTGATGTTAGCTATTGATGTTAGCCACTTCAGTCAGTGTGTTGGTGGCTGCCACACTTGGTGGTACAAGAAAGTAGACACGAGGAGGAAAAACACAAAGTGGGCTTTAGTTGAGAGAAGGAAGAGGTGTGAGGACATAAAACAGGAAAAGTTGGCAAAGCAAAGAAAAGAAAAAGTGGAAATGGATAGCTGGTGGATCAAGGAAAGGAGACAGGGGTGATGGTGTAACGGCAGGGGATAGAGCAGATGTAATGGGCAGATAATGAGTACGGTGTAGGAAATCGAGTTAATGTCAGAAAGATGGGTGAAGAACGAAGGGGATTAATGGAGACTGAAAGCCAAAATATGAAAGAAACATGAGAAAAGAGACAACACCAGCAGCACTACTTGGGTATAATGGATGGCGGAAGGCAAAGCTCCCATCCCTGATATGATTTAAGCTCCTCTGTTTGAGCCCACTGCAAAGGTAAAGACAGGATGAAGCGAGGGTGGGAGAAGAAAGTGTGGAGGGATAACACAAACAGAGAAAAGCTAACAGGAAGTGGGGTGGAAGATAAAAGTGCGGCCAGGTAAAGGGAGAACAAAATTCACATGAGAAATCTCTCCCTCGTAACAGAACCAACTTTAAAACAAATAGCTGAGGAGAAACTTTCTGTCTGTTTCTTGGCTGGTTTTGAGACTGAGGTTGTAAAATCCTGTAATGCTGTACGTTTTGAAGCCTGTCCCCAGAGGGGTCTTTGAAGTGTGGAAGTGGGAGATTGGAGCGGATGGGCTTCAGACTAAAAACACATGTGATGGGTTCATTCATTCATTCATGTTTTTTTTCCAGGCACTACAGCTGGTCTTTGTAGTGCTGAATCCCATAAGATAACACCTATTAAATAGCCGATGAAGTAGTAAAAGATTCATACCGTAACCTTATCATGATAGCAGCATGTCTGTAGGTGATATATACAGACACACATGTTCCCAAGAGGATAAATCCTACAGACATTATTGGCTTCGAGTGAAAACTAGATGCTAAATGCTGCATTTTGATGAACATTTGTAGAGATATCCTTGGATACTCTCAGTCTTGTCTTAGACTGATTTCAAAAGTCTGGTTTATGTTACATCTGTTAACATAAACATGCACATAAAAAAGCGCGACAGAACATAAGGAGAAACAGTCCCTGCTGACAACTGCATGAGAATAGATGGTATAGTCCTTTAAAGAGAAGCTCAGGTAGTCATCAACGCAGATGCTATTTGCCCAACATTTGTGTCTAAGTGACTTTTTATTGGTCTAGTATTGAGCAAGAACGCTGCTGTTGCCATCTGTGAAACAGACTGCAATGTAACCCTTCCAGGCATTAATGCACCATCAATGAACTTCCACTCAAATTGTTAGTTCTTGCCAATGACTCAGATTTGTATAAGTGTCTGAAACAAATATAGAAAGAAGTGAAATAAAACCTATATCTTTATATTTCACTTGATCAAGTCTTTTGTTATGGTTTCTAACCAGGTCTGGCTCCTTAGAGACGGAAAGCGTGTCTGTGTTATCTGAAAGAGTTTCGATGTCAAGGCTGAATATTTCGCTGATTTAGACAAGGTGTTTAAAGCCTAATCCTCTAGCAAAATCTCTAATATGTTGTTTTCAGACACTTAAAATGACGGTGCATAATTGCCGGTGTTGTCAGTACAATTAGTTTCTTCCCCATTATACTGTACATAAAAACATTGTGAAATAGGGCCGTGCAGAATCTGTATAGTAACCTTTGACCATTTTTATTCTTTAGCTTGATAGTAGTTAAAATGTAAAACAATTCAGTTAAGCATTATTCTCTGTCGAGCCAGTGAATAAAGTGGCTTAATTGGTTAGTTTTAAGAGGGAGATGACACTACTGAGCCCTCTGAGGCTCTCTTCGCAGGTATAGCGTGATCTCTCTCAGCCTAAAATAGCACTGCAGTAAAAGTTTCCAACTAAGTCGTCTCAAAAAAGAGCTGCTTCTCAGGGGCTTTCTTCTTCTGTCAGCATGAACACCATCCTCCTGATTCAAAGGGAGAGGGTCTTGGGATTAAGACCACCTGCTTTGACTGTGCCTACAGACCTTAAAGACACACTGCTGAGGCATGGAGAGGTCATAAACCCTAACGGAACATCTGGTGTGAATATGCTGCACATGTGTTCCTGATTGGTTTAACGCTTGCATGGATGGTGTCAGCATGACTACTGGAAAAAAAGGCTATTCAGAGCGGAGTTTGGTCTATTCAGCAATGTGCAATCAATGAAACTGTGTATTAAAGCTTCTAATTACCAAGAATTTAACAAGGCCAGGTGGTTCAGTAAAATGCAGTTCTGTTCTGCAGTTGTAACTCATCCCACCTTCAGTGTCCCACCTGTGATAACCTCTGCCTTCACACTACACCTCATCTCTTATTTTCCTTACTTGCCAGGCTTATCTCTGCACTGTCCCGCTAGCTGGAGAGCACTTTCAGACAGTTCTGTGCCTTAGCAGCTATTGAGGGCTATGGGGCCTTTATTCTGAAGCACCCATAACTACAGAGTTGCAGCATTGAGGGCAGTTGGCTGGCATGCTATTGTTTCGGCTGTGCTTATCGACTTTGCCCCTGCTTGACATGACTCTACTGGCTAATGGGGTTTGGAAGACACTGAATGAACCTGATGCACTGTAGCGGCCAGGGAAAAACAGATGCTCATTCTTCATTTTGTTTTACACTGCCTGGACATGACATGATTTCCATTCATGCTTTATTAGAGGTGAGTGGTGGGGTTTGAGATGGGGAACGTAGCTGCAAGGTAGCAAATTAAGGTAAAATGAAGGTCAGTCAGGTTGAGAAAATGGACGGGAAACAGAAAAAAGGAAATTATAGTTTAACTTTCCATTAAAAAAAGTTTAAAGAACAAATTAAGAGAATACACAAGGGATAGGAAATGATTCTCTTCCTGTCTGACATGCTTAAAAAATACAAATGATATTTGATTGCTCCTGTTTTCTACCTTGTCATTATCTCAGCGTCTACTCTCCTGGTATTATATAGGAAATATACATATTGCCGTAATGATAATGCATGCGCCCTGCACAATAAGTGAGGTTTCTAATCAGCAAAGGACTTACATTAAGGCCACACAGGTAGCAGTGTTATAAAGATGCAACCACGTAAAAAAACAATGATGAAATATTTTCTGTGTTTTAGGATAAATATATTTCATGACTAAAATTTGCAAATAATTTATTAATGCTGGCTGATTTCTGAATGTTTGACATCCACTTGGATATTTGTTTTGTTGTTTTTTATGTATTCCGTCTATCTCTAAGCAATGGTAAACTTAATTTTTATTTTTCATGTGATCAATTATTGACTGAAATACAATGTTTCCTATTAGCACTAAAAAAGGACACAATGCTAATGACCTGACCTTTTTTTAAATTATAAAATAAATAATGAAAAAACTGATGATCGTAATGGAGTGTGAGATGGGCCCGAGAATCGGAGCAGCGGGAGCGGTATGGCAGTCGCTTTACCGCACCGTTGTGACGAAAAGAGAGCTGAGCCAGAAGACAAAGCTCTCTGTCTACCGGGCCATTTTCGTTCCTACCCTCACCTATGGCCATGAAGGATGGGTCATGACCGAAAGAACGAGATCGCGGATACAAGCGGCCGAGATGGGTTTTCTCCGCAGGGTGACGGGCGTCTCCCTTAGGGATAAGGTGAGAAGTTCAGTCACCCGGGAGGGACTCAGAGTTGAACTGCTCCTCCTTCGCGTTGAAAGGAGCCAGTTGAGGTGGTTTGGGCACCTAGTAAGGATGCCACCTGGGCGCCTCCCTAGGGAGGTGTTCCAGGCACGTCCAGCTGGGAGGAGACCGAGGGGTAGACCTAGGACCAGGTGGAGGGATTATATCTCTTCACTGGCCTGGGAGCGCCTTGGGATCCCCCAGTCAGAGCTGGTTGATGTGGCCAGGGAAAGGAACGTTTGGGGCTCTCTGCTGGAACTGCTACCTCCGCGACCCGACCACGGATAAGCGGGAGAAGATGGATGGATGGATGATCGTAATTTTAAAGGGGCCCTATTATGCTAATTTTCAGGTTTCATAGTTGTGTTTTGTTCCCCTACTGTGATTTGTTTACATGCTTTAGTGTTCAAAAGTCTGGCCGGCTCTATCATGATTGGTCACCTGCGTAGAGATGTCCCGCCCCTTAGCCTATCATGTACAATGTGTGCTCCCCCTGGAGAGAACTTTAGCCTTTGGCCATTTACGTGCACAAAACCCTATAATAAAAACCCAAAAAGCACAATAAAGCTCATTCAAAATGCAAGAGATTCAAGCCTCTATTAATAATGGTCAATTCTCAACACTGTTTCTGCATTGTTTTTGCGTCCAACATGCAGTTTTCACACACATAGATGATAAACAGTTTAAAATGCATTGTTAGCATTTTAAAGTTCTTACACACCACTAAAGCAAACACTCTACCATTTATCACCAGCGTGAGACCATTATCATATAGTAGAGTTATTAGCTGTGCTTGGTAGAACAGTGCTAAGTGTGTAAGTAAAAACAGACATAGTTCCAAATATCACTTACTGCGCTGAACGGAAGCAGTGTCTTAGGGTTAATTAGTAGTCAGCCCATTACATATTATTCGTGCAAACCGCAGCAAAAGCTTAATTAACTTTGATTCCCACTCCCTTGGAAATTGGCCTCACAATACTACAATGATGCTGACTTAGGGATAGGCTGAGGCGTTGAGTGTGGCAATGAGCCAGTGCTTTGCTTGAGACAATAACGGTCTAATGATCAAACGAGCAGGTGCCAGGGAAGTTTTTGAGGATATCAAACACAGTTTTCAGAGCACATCACTGCTCAGGGCTTGTCACCTTCACCCTCACCTCTAAAATCTTCCTGGTCTCCCCCCCCCCAAACATGTCTGTCTCCTTCCCTTC